GTGATGCCACAAATTTTCCATTTTTGAAATTCCCTGCAGCAGAGTCGGATTCTATTACTTTTCCTCTCTCTGCCTCCATTTTCTCTGCCACTATCATGGCCATTGGAGAGCGACAAGAGTTCCCTGAGCATACAAAGAGTAGTTTGCTCGGGGTTGATGGCTTGACCATTTCCATATTTGGCTGTATTATGTTATTTGTCCCTTCTCTCTCTCTCTCTCTCTCTCTCTCTCTCTCATTTATAAGGAGACAGCAATTGACTGTCAATTGCTGTCTTGCATGTAACGGTAGTCTATTTTACATGTCGTTATTTTACTTTTTACGTAGCACAAGGACATCATTATGTATCAGGAAATTAAATTAAAAATTTGGAGTGATTTTGGGACTATTTTTTGGAAAAAAATAATAGGCTATAGCCTTTGCTTTTTTTTTCAAAAATTGGCTCGTTTTTAATTCTGACAAAGAAACATTGCTGTGTACATGTAGCCGTTAGTGTTGTGTGTAGTATTTTATTTAATTTTCTTTTCATTTTTAGGTTCTCTATCATTTAAAGCTCAGCCAGTATCTCTCCCTCCGCCCTCTTCCGTCCCACCAGCTCCGCCTGCTTTATCAAAACCTGCTGGGAGCCTCGTGGACGCCCTCAAGAAACCAGAGTACCAGATTGAAAACATCCGTAAAGAAGCGAAACAAAAGAGTGTCCTGGCCCCATCTACTGCCTCTCTTGTGGGTGGGGAGACCAAAGGATTATCTGTTCCTCCTCTCAAGCCATTAAAGGATGTTCCTCTTATTGTTCCCACGTCCAACTGGTCCTGTGACTCTTGTTGGGTATCAAATAAAAGTGATACTAATAAGTGTATGGCATGTGGTGCGTCTCAACCCTCGGGCATTAGAAAGAAAGCTGTTGCTTTCTCTACTCCTTCAGTAACCGACGCTCCCTCTGGGGGGCTGAAATTTCCCTCTGGGGGAAGTTTAACCAGTACTTCTGGGGGGCTGAAATTACCCACTGGGGGAAGTCTAACCAGTACTTCTGGGGGGCTGAAATTACCTACGGGGGGAAGTCTAATCGGTACTTCTGGGGGGTCAAAACTTCCTACAGGTAACTTGACTGGTGAAGTAAAATTACCTCAGGGGGGCAATGTAATGTTAGCTCCCAGTGGTCGTATTTTTAGCAGCTCTGGACCTCCTTCCTCTGCATCTACCAGTACTAATATTGCGTCATCTAGTGGGAGTGGCTTCAAGTTATCAAGTGGTGGACTGTCTAACGTACAACCACCCACGCTTGTTACTCCTAACACTAAATCTACTGTCGTGCCTCTCAGCAGTCTAGCCCCGCCCACTTCTAATTGGGAGTGCCCAGTCTGTATGATCAGTAATACTAAAGACTCTGATACTTGTGTTGCTTGTGGTGCTAAAAGATCCTCTGGTACCAGTATTGATAACAAGGGAAGTGGAACAGGGTTTTTGAAACCTGGTGGAAAGTGGGAGTGTCCCACTTGTATGCTCCTCAACGATCCAAGCAAAGATTCTTGTCCGGCTTGTGAGACTCCACGACCTGGAGCAACTGCCAAAACCAGTCAGACCAGTTTAAACTCGAGTGTGAAACCTGTCCAGTTTGGTGATGGAGGTGGAATGAAGCTTGGAGGAGGAGGAGGAGGGTTGCTTTTGACTGGTACTAGTGGTAAACCAACATTACAGATTGCATCTGGAGGGGGTTTAAAATTAGGAGGAGGGGGTTTAAAGTTAGGAGGAGGGGGCCTAAATATATTTGGTGGAATTTCGTCTCAGTCCCAATCAGTCTCTACTAATAATACAAACACTAGTCAGTCAGTTACATTAGGAGTTACTACTCAATCTACAACTACTTCTTCATCTCAGACTAATGTATCTGTTTCTTCTTTTATACCTCCAAATGTCACTACTGGCTCATCTCTTCTCTCCTCGTCGTCTCTCCCTACTGCTCCCTCTCTCTTACCTCCTGCAGCTACCAAACCTTCTCTTTTTGGACAGTCACTAGTCACGGCTGCTCCTTCTCCTCTCTCTACTGCTTCTAGTGCTACTCCTCCTCTTTCACTGGGAGGTAGTGTGTCGTTGTCTAGTGGTCTAACCAGTACCACTGGGACTCCGTTGTTTATGCAAAGTCAGCAACCAGTTTCGGGTCCTAGTACTACATTCACGCTCCCTAAATCCGATTTCAATAAGGGGGCCCTCTCGGGGTTGAAATTTGAAACCCCGCCCCCTCCAGTCCTCACCACTGCATCAAGCGAAGGATCAACTCAATCTCAACCTATATCAGTTACTCCTTCTTCTGGTTTTTCTACTTTACCTACTACTTCTGTTGGGGCTTCGCTGTTTCAGTCTTTTCTGACTCCGCCTGCTTCCGCTCCTGCTTCCACAGCGACCGTGTTTGGTAAGCCCCCTGGAGGAGGAGGGGACGGACAGAAGCTGCTGTTTGGAGTACCCAGTCAAGGTTTGCTGTTGTGTACTTGTTTGTACAATTTAAAAAAATACTTCTTTTGTGGCAAAATTATGAAGTTACTCAAAAAATTGGGCAAAAGTCTCTGTACTATAGTACAATTTTCAGTATTTATTATTATTAAGCTCCATTCATAATTCTTGCTGCCACCATTCGATTGGTAGTATGGATTCGCTTGTGGAGCATAATAAATCATAATGTCACTTACTCACTGCATCAGCATGTGTGATAATCACATGCTTGTCATGTGACCTGCTAATAGTGATGTACATGTATACATGTGTTATATTTTGTTATGCATACATTGTGACTATTGTTATTGTTTTTTATCTTTTGTGCATTAGGTTCTGCTCCAGTGTCTAAAGCCCCAGCTCCTCCATCTTTATTCCCACCAATTATTGGAACAGGAATGGGTTCTGGAGGAATGGGAAATACAGGAATGAAAACTGGAGGAATGGAAATGAGTGGTGCAGGAATGAACTCTGGAGGAATCAGGATGAGTCCTGGAGGAATTGGAATGAGTTCTGGAGGAACGGGAATGAGTTTGAAAGGAATGGGAATGAGTACTGGAGGAATAGGAATGAGTGGTGCAGGAATGAACTCTGGAGGAATCAGAATAAATTCTGGTGGAACAGGAATGAGCTCTGGAGGAATGGGAATGAGTTCAGGAGGAATGGGAATGAGTTCAGGAGGAACGGGAATGAGTTCAGGAGGGACGGGAATGAGTTCAGGAGGAACAGGAATGAGTTCAGGAGGAATGGGAATGAGTTCAGGAGGAATGGGAATGAGTGGTACAGGAATGAACTCTAGAGTAATGAACACTGGAGGAATTGGAATGAGTTCTGGAGGAACAGGAATGAGTTCTGGAGGAATGGGAATGAGTTCAGGAGGAACAGGAATCGGAATGAGTTCTGGAGGAATTGGAATGAGTTCTGGAGGAATTGGAATGAGTTCAGGAGGAACAGGAATCGGAATGAGTTCTGGAGGAACGGGAATGAGTTCTGGGGGAATGAGTACTAACTTATTTGGAAATCCTACTCCTGGGGGTCAAACCAGTACCACTTCTGGTTTCAATTTTAGCATGAAACCTAATCTAAACTTTGGAAACTCATCACCCTCCCCTTCAACTTTTCAGTTTGGATCCAACCAGCAACAACAGCACCCGTTACAACAAGGACAGAATGTATTCCAGCAACAGCAGCAGCCATTACAACAGGGATTACAGCAAGGACAGAATGTGTTACAGCAACAGCAGCAGCCATTACAGCAAGGACAGAATGTGTTACAGCAGCAAGGTGGTACCATGCCCTTTGGAATGGGTTCTCAGGGTATTGGAATGGGAGGGGGAGGGTTTTCTGTCGGTAGTGATTTGGCCAGAGGCAAACGACCAATTAAAAAAGCTGTTAGAAGACACAGAACTTAATTAGCTTTCTTTTATCTCACTCTCTCTCTTTTATTATTATTATTATTATTATTATTATTATTATTATTGTTATTATTATTATTATTATTATTATTATTATTGTAAAAAAGTTGATGACTGATTGGTTTTGTGATTTGTTATGTATGTGTATCAAAAACTGCTCAATTGTTTTCTTTTGTTTTCATCTTTGTTTTGAAAGAAAAATAAAAACATTTGATATAATAATTCATTAATAATAAGATTATAGAGTGCATATCTATTGTAACTTGATTATATAAATTTTATTTTATTGTTCATCAAGGCCACACCTTTCATTATTAATTTGAAAATGTCGGTTGACTACATTTCCTATTTTGTTAGCGGTATCGTTGCAGTTGGGGGGATATTTGGCTTTGTTAAAGCAGGTAACATGAAATATATATAATATTTATTAAAAAGTATATTTATTGTTATAATTATATTTATTTTGTAGGCAGTTTTATGTCCTTGGGGAGTGGCCTCCTCTTTGGTTCCTTGATTGCTTACGGGGCTTACAGGGTATCTGCCAATCCAAAGGACTTTGCCTTTTTAGCAAGTGGGTATCTTTTGTACATTTTTGTAATTTGGAGAGCTCAAAGTTGTAATTTGGAGAGCTTGTAATTTGGAGATCTCGTAATTTGGAGAGCTCGTAATTTGGAGAGCTCGTAATTTGGAGAGCTCGTAATTTGGAGAGCTCGTAATTTGGAGAGCTCGTAATTTGGAGAGCTCGTAATTTGTAGAGCTTGTAATTTTGGAGAGCTCATAATTTGTAGAGCTTGTAATTTTGGAGAGCTTGTAATTTGGAGAGCTTGTAATTTGGAGAGCTTGTAAATTTGGAGGGATAAAATAGAAATTTTTTGGGTTTAATTTGACAAATTTGTGGCCATGTGTTATTGAGCATGCACGAAACGGCGGATTTTATTTTTGGCTAATTTTTAAAAATATAATTTTAATTTGTAGTTGTTTGTTGTTTATTGGCTACAACAATGGGATATCGCTACTTCAAAACAGGAAAGTTTATGCCAGCTGGTCTTGTAGCTTCGATAAGGTGAGGGTAGCCACGCAGTGCTATTAATTCTATTGTTATGTTATGCCAAAAATGTTTAAACTTAAAATCTAATAAAAATGGCCGTAACTTGAAAAATTTTAAGTCAGAATCAGCTTAAACTTTCTGCATAGTATAAGTACATTAATATGTATCAGAAAATGTAATAAAAATTGGGTGTCATTTTTTGGCCATTTTTCGGAAAAAACCATGGGCTATAGTACAGGGAGTTTTTCAGATTTTGGTCCATTTTTTAAAATGGCGGTAACTTTAAAAATTTAAGTCGGAATCGGCTCAAACTTGCTACACAGCATAAGTACATTAATATGTATCAGAAAATGTAATAAAAATTGGGTGTCATTTTTTGGCCATTTTTCGGAAAAAACCATGGGCTATAGTACAGGGATTTTTTCAGATTTTGGTCCATTTTTTAAAATGGCCGTAACTTTTAAAATTTAAGTCGGAATCAGCTCAAACTTTCTACACAGCATAAGTACATTAATATGTATCAGAAAATGTAATAAAAATTGGGTGTCATTTTTTGGCCATTTTTCGGAAAAAACCATGGGCTATAGTACAGGGATTTTTTCAGATTTTGGTCCATTTTTTAAAATGGCCGTAACTTTTAAAATTTAAGTCGGAATCAGCTCAAACTTTCTACACAGCATAAGTACATTAATATGTATCAAAAAATGTAATAAAAATTGGGTGTCATTTTTTGGCCATTTTTCGGAAAAAACCATGGGCTATAGTACAGGGATTTTTTCAGATTTTGGTCCATTTTTTAAAATGACCGTAACTTTTAAAATTTAAGTCGGAATCAGCTCAAACTTTCTACACAGCATAAGTACATTAATATGTATCAGAAAATGTAATAAAAATTGGGTGTCATTTTTTGGCCATTTTTCGGAAAAAACCATGGGCTATAGTACAGGGATTTTTTCAGATTTTGGTCCATTTTTTAAAATGGCGGTAACTTTAAAAATTTAAGTCGGAATTGGCTCAAACTTGCTACACAGCAAAAGTACATCAATATGTATTAGAAAATGTAATAAAAATTGGGTGTGATTTTTTGGCCATTTTTCAGAAAAAACCATGGGCTATAGTACAGGGATTTTTTCAGATTTTGGTCCATTTTTTAAAATGGCCGTAACTTTTAAAATTTAAGTCGGAATCAGCTCAAACTTTCTACACAGCATAAGTACATTAATATGTATCAAAAAATGTAATAAAAATTGGGTGTCATTTTTTGGCCATTTTTCGGAAAAAACCATGGGCTATAGTACAGGGATTTTTTCAGATTTTGGTCCATTTTTTAAAATGGCCGTAACTTTTAAAATTTAAGTCGGAATCAGCTCAAACTTTCTACACAGCATAAGTACATTAATATGTATCAGAAAATGTAATAAAAATTGGGTGTCATTTTTTGGCCATTTTTCGGAAAAAACCATGGGCTATAGTACAGGGATTTTTTCAGATTTTGGTCCATTTTTTAAAATGGCGGTAACTTTAAAAATTTAAGTCGGAATTGGCTCAAACTTGCTACACAGCAAAAGTACATCAATATGTATTAGAAAATGTAATAAAAATTGGGTGTGATTTTTTGGCCATTTTTCAGAAAAAACCATAGGCTATAGTACAGAGATTTTTTCAGATTTTGGCCTATTTTTTAAAATGGCGGTAACTTTAAAAATTTAAGTCGGAATCGGCTCAAACTTGCTACACAGCATAAGTACATCAATATGTATTAGAAAATGTAATAAAAATTGGGTGTGATTTTTTGGCCATTTTTTAGAAAAAACCATGGGCTATAGTACAGGGATTTTTTCAGATTTTGGCCCATTTTTTAAAATGGCGGTAACTTTAAAAATTTAAGTCGGAATCAGCTCAAACTTGCTACACAGTATAAGTACATCAATATGTATCAGAAAATGTAATAAAAATTGGGGGTAATTTTTTGGCCAATTTTCGGAAAAAACCATTATAGTACAGGGATTTTTTCAGATTTTGGCTCATTTTTAAAAGGGCCATAACTCGAAAAATTGAATTGGAATCAGCTCAAAATTTCTATTTTCGAACTTTCCTAATAGTTTATTGCAAGTCCTAAGGTTTGGAGCAAGATACCTTCAGCAATCGTAAATGATGAAACTCGATCATTAATGATAAACAGTCATGTAAGGTTACAATACTATAACTGTTATTATCATTATTATCATCATTATTATTATTATTATTATTATTATCATCATTATTATTATCATTATTATCTTACCTGTAATGTACATTGTACATGTATTTCAATTTCTTTCGATTGATATAAAATTATTTAAAAAAACATTTCAAATCCTGCATCGCAGCTATGCACTAAAAAGCCATTCCATCACACACTAGTATAGAACCATCATTTTTATACTATTCACTATTCCGATATTATTTAAGACATTTCCTATAGCTCCAAAAATAACTACTCTTTTGCATTTTTTTGTCTATATACCGTAGTTGACCTTTAATACTTTTCTGCTATACGATATCCTTAGCTGCAGTACATGTAAGCGGATGTTATTAATATTCATGACTCGATAAGGGCTGAAGTGCTTATACAGGTGCTGTGTTTGTATACTTGACTCTACCACCCGCCAGTATAATACACACACTTCACTGCATCCTAATCTTCCTTGTTATGGGAGTATGGACTAGCTATCATAACAATCTGTATTCTGGAAGCTTTGTATAATAATAATAATAACAACCATCTCTCCCTCCCTTTTCTAGTGTCTCCAGTACATGTACATGTACATGCACATGTATGACATGTGCCTGTTTTGAACTCTGAACATTAATTATAGACATAGTTCAGATTAATTTGTTGCATTCCAATGATACTATTATTGGATGTTGTTATTTTAGATCAGTCTCACTGCCCTCCCCCTCTCTCTCTATATTAATCTTATTTTCTGTCTCTCTCTGTCTCTCTGTCTCTCTCTCTTTCTCTCTCTTTCTGTTACAAAGATGGTCATTCATCATTGTTGTTTGTTTCATCATTGTTTGTGATGTTCATTATAATTAATTTGATTGAAAACAAACTCAGTCAATATCCTCCATAAATTACCTAATCACTGAGCATGTGATTATGTAATTGACCCTAACCCAATGGTTTATTTATAAACTAGCTATCAGTCATGATACATGTACATGTACACACATTCTGAACTATAGCTATATCGCTGTACATGTACAACCAACAGTGCATGATACTAATATGATGTGCTGTTGATCATAACCTGCTATTGTGGACACTCTAAAATAAGGACACCTCTATAATGAGGAGGGGTAGTATCAGTCCCAATACAATAGTAATGTGTATTAATGAGCCTCTGAAATAAGGACAGGTTCATAATCAGGAGCTAGGGTATTATTGGGTCCCAAGGTGTCCGGAATAGACAGGATTGACTGTATTAAACTATAAAATTACATTAATTTTTATTAAATTTATTCTTCATCATCATGAATATAACTAATATTTCAATGACCGTCATTATCTATTCATGTGTTGATTATTTCGTTTGAGCTGCCTCCTTTACCTCCAGCTGTCAGCTATGATAGTTTTAAAAGTATTCACACATACACAATATATTCTATTTGTTATTTCAATACATGACAGTATATACATAATGATATCCTATCTCCTCATTGGATAGATTTCTACATGTACATGTACTGTACAGAACTCCCTCCCATGTCTACTGTGTGCATCCAGTACTACCTGATTCTGTGGGTTAAGTTGGTATAAATTATTTGATTCTGAGGTTGATACAGACACTTCCTTGCTCCTTCCCACTTTTTCTTGATAATTTTTAAGACTATTATTTAAGCCTTTTGCTCACTTTTCCCATGTCTCTATTTCATTGATATCTCATTAATATCTCATTGATATCTCACTAATATCTCATTGATATCTCACTGATATCTCATTAATATTTCTCATTTTCTCTCTCTTTTTTTACACGTCCACTTAACCTCTTCTCTCTCCTACTGCCCCCCCCTTTTCTTTAATTATTTTAAAATTAACCCTTCTCCTTTGCAATTACATGTAATCTTTCTTTTCTCATGCACACACACATATATTATTATTATAATAAAATTATAAATTCCTTTTCTCTTGATTTTATCTTCATGTCTAATGTTTTTCATACCATCGGCCTTATCCTTCAGTGTATACAACTGGTACTATAATTTTGATAGCCTTCTTGAAATCATCCTCCAAGAATGATATCCACCCTCTCTCTGTCTAAATCAATTTCCTGTGATAAACACTATTTTGTGTATTTCGTGTGTGTGTTCATAGTCTTCTGATGTCAGCTCCAGTACTATTGGTAATTGGTCTCTTTGTATTTTTAATTTTAAAATGATGATAATATTATGATTGCAGGCAATAGAGTAGAATGTGATTGTTCTAAATGGAGCAACAAGAAGTAGTTTTGGTTGTACCCCATAGCACCTTATGGTACAGTAAAGACTTGCAATATTATATAATTCAGTGATAATGCTTTTCAACCAGGGAGTTATTATATCCCTGTTTTCAATCATAATTTCATTCTTAGTAGCAGTCCATTGACTCTACAGTAATAGCAATATGTCCTTGACTGCTGAATGAATATATACATGAAAGCATCTATCAGTTGTGTGTACATGTACATGTATATCCAATCCATACTTCATTTTACATGTACATGTACATGTACATGTATTTCTATATAAGGAAAAAGGTTTGTCAGCTAATGCTACTGCTTCTATTACAATCTTAGTCACTGCAGCCATAGCAACTGTCTGACACCTATGAAATAATCTCTTTGAGACTTGACCGCTTAGATATATCTTGCGACACCCTTGTATATCTTGGGATATCTCAGGATATTTATTTATACTTTTGTGGTAGTGTGCTGTATAGTTTTAAGATCAAAGGATTGTTATTTACTACTGATTGACATTCCTGAATTTGCTAAGCATGTTAAATTGCAATCATTTGGATTTATTGTGTCTGATACCTGGTATTGTAGCTATTGGATTTCAAGGATGTCATGAGTAGTTGATGCACACAGCTAGTACATGAATTAGTGAGCGTAATAGTAAGGAAGGACATGTCAGTTATATTGAGAATTGTAAAGAAAGGGAGAGAGGGAGGGGGAGAAAAGGGAGAGAGAGAGAGAAAGAGAGAGAGGGAGAGAGAAAGAGGGGAGGGAGAGAGAGAGAGAGAAGATAAAAAGATGCATATAAAGTTCAAAGCTTTCACAAAAGCTTGCCAACAATGTCCTCACTATCCTTTATCCATCACCTTCCATTAGAACCCAGTTACATCATATGCTCCTCTTAATACCGTAAACACATGATCAGAGGATGAGTCCTCAACGTGCGTACACAAACACTCACTCACTTAGACACAATGACCTTTAAACTGGTAGCGTTGCTTACCGTCAGATGAAAACTGTGAACCTACTGGGCCGACCTTATGTTGAGTATTAGTCAGATGCTTAGGTGGAATCTGCTGTCAAACAGAGGGTGTTTATTAGCCAGTGTTTCTGCCATTATTGCATAGAACAGCTGCTACTCAGCTGCCCATTGCGCCATATTTATTATTGTGACACGACTGAGTTTAACCTTTTGATGTGGTGGTGTTTACTGGTCCCTAATGAAGAAGTGAGACCAGTGAGCCCATGCATGTATCATACGCCCACGCATTGCGACTCATTTCTAGGTCTTCAGACTCGATTAGTGTTGATCCCATTAGTTGTACTGGGGAACACGAGGACTGTACATAACGTGAGTGGTTTATCAGTGACAGCAGATGTCAAGGCTGTATGAACGATTAAAAACTAGTATATGATACAATTTTAATGACATATTATTATGAATGAACATACAATGTTAGTACATGGATAGTATTCCATTATTATTATTATGTGTAGTAGCATTGATACTAGGGTATGTATACAAATTGCAAAGCCATAGTCCTGTTAGCATTATAGAACATACAAAATTAATGAGTATTAGTAAAAGGACGGTCCCCCTGTGCTGTATTTCCAGTACAGCACAGGGGAGCTGTGCTTTTACTAGTTTATGGTCATAGTGTGTGGGTGCATCAAAGGCACCAGCCCAAGGCCAAGTGAAGAAGAGCCTAAAGGGAACCAAAAGCTGCATGATAATTTTGTATTTTAATAGAGAGAGAACAAGAGAGAGAGCTAAGTTATACTGTATAAATGAGACTGAGAAATGCTCTTGACCTAATGTGAATAGCTACACATAATTGTATGGGTATTTTGTATTAATACTGTGTAATATTATCACATGCACATTGCATTGAGATAAAGGATATACTGTATACTCTGTGTCATAAAAGACATATCCTATTGTTAATGGTCACAGTCCATTGTACCCTCAACTGAAGGTTATTGTGTAGATCATAGCCGGCAATATTCTTAGAGGGTCGTCATTATTCGAATTACCAGCAAAGAGTTTACATACAATAAATGATTAGTGGATAATGGAGCAACAAAGAACTCATTGATGCATTAGCTAGTAAATATTTAATAATTAAAACCCACAGACACACACAGACTGTGTACTGAACCAATTAGGCAGAGCCCAATGAAAGCAAACCTTTTTTGAGATACAAATTGGCTCACTCAAGCTTGTTTGCTTGGCTAGGATTTAATTTGAACCTGTTTTTTAACAGCTTCTTTGAATGTATTATATTATTGCAGCTGTATTTCTCTGTGCATGTTCTTATACAGAGACTAAATGTCTAAACCTCACTTGATTAGTATTATTATAAGCAGGTGTCATTTATGGGTTAGGTTCTCTGTTTGGCCTACGCCAGTGAGTCTCAGTCTAGGCTGTTGGACCAGCTGTTTGGGTTGATGTGTCTTCGGTCCCCGACAGTTCATTGTCATTCGAAGGATAAACAGAATCAGCGGCTAATGGATGTTGTCTCAATTAAACGAGGCTACGTGTGTTGATGGAAGGGTTGTTGATGGAGTTGCCTTGGTGATGCTTTGCATGTCTGCTATTCTCTATATGATAATAATAATAATAATAATGATAATAATAATAATAATAACAAGTAGATATGTCATTAGCATAATTATTATTAAATTGCAAAGTTAAAAAATATCTGCAATAAATTTAGTATGATTATGTAATAATACTCATTTATAACAAGTTGTATGACTACACTGACTACACTTGTACTAATTCTTGATAATTTGTACCAGTACTATACATCATGCTTGTCTCTGTATTAAGTGTCGTCATATAATTCTATATCATAATTTAATATTACTTGTACTATCAGCTAATAGCAGGATATTGTATTAGCTTTTAGGGAAGACCCTTGTCGTAATTATTAACTATCGTTGTAATTATTATTAATCATCCCACCATACAATCTGTATGCATATAAAGACACCTCTGTAATAAGGACATTCTCAACTGCTACTAATATAATATAAAACTATATATAATATAGATTCATATACTAAAAGAATGTATACTGCCATTTGGTGTATTGGTACAGACATACAAATTGAGTTGCTTTAACAGTGGAGGCTTCACTCAATAATACAGAAATACCTTGTAAATGAGGACACTTTTGTATTGAGGGAAAGCAGCGCAGTCTTGGCGCTGCTTGGAATAAAGGGTCTTTGTTGAGGCCGTGCGGTCTAAATGGTGTCCGGAATAGGTAGGTTTCAGTGTCAATAGTTTATTGTTGCGGGTTTTTGTTCTGGGTTGTGATGCGAGGACGCGTGGATATGCTGTCACAATGAATAACTAATGGCTCATAATTACACTGACAATATCAGAGAATCCGTATTGATAATACAGTATATGCACATATTGCATCAACACATTTATTTCTATTTTAAGTCTTAAGTACTTACATCGGAAAATGTAATAATAATTGTAAATTCTCTCCTAGCCATTTTTGACGAAATTTGGCCAGAGACCCTGTACTATAGTACAGGGACTTTGGCCCAACTTTGGAGCAAGTTTAAAGATTCGTAAAAATCCAATTTTGATCAGAATCAGTTCAAACTTTTTACATAACATAAGAACATGTATATGTATCAGAAAACATTATAAAAATGGAGAATTCCCTCCTTTTCATTTTTGGCAAAATTTGGCCAAAATCCCTGTACTATAGTACAGGTACTTCGGCCCGATTTTTGAGTAACTTTAAAAATTCGTAAAAAATCCAATTTTGATCGGAATCAGTTTGAACTTTTTACATAACATAAGAACATGTATATGTATCAGAAAACATTATAAAAATGAAGAATTCTCTCCTTTTCAATTTTGGCAAAATTTGGTCCCAGACCACGGACTATAGTACAGGGACTTTGGCCCAATTTTGAAGCAACTTTAAAGTAATTTTTTAAAATATTACCACTCCAAATTTTCTGGCCATACGATATATGTTTACTAATGTGTAGTAGCTGTTGGTTTGGTGGTCTATTTGATAATTATATTGAATTAATCAAGTGGGCGGGTTATTTGATATGCCTACATTCCAGTGGTACATGTTACACGCACGAGAAATGTTTATTTATTTTTTAATATTACATTAATGCTATGTCTTATACCTAGCTCTCTCTCTCTCTCTCTCTCGTAAACAAAATAATGAGAAAATATTTACTCGTAGTAAAGTTGCAATGTCTTCTGAAACAAAAAACACATACAACCCACAACCTTAGCATCACACTTAATAAAATACACTAGCACATGCTGCACATTCATAATCTCCTAGCTTTAACATACAACCCCCCTACATCACTCAGCTTAACACACAGCTAACATTACATTACATTATGCACACTATCCTCCATAAGATCCTTATGCTAGTATAAAGTTGTTTACTGCTAAAATCTCCATCATATGATGTTATTCTTATATACATGCATGTGTAATACTAGAGCAGAACCACTCACACTGTTTACTATGCAGGAATGTCAGTTTCTATGGCATAACATATGCCAGTAATTACACTAATATGACACAAAGCCTTCGTTAACTTCATTTGCTGATAGAGACCCCACATGTGCTTCATCCTGTGTATCAGTACAAGCTAGTGGTCACCATTATACGTACTATAATATTATTTTATCTCTTCTTTAAGTTATTTTTATAGCTTTGTATGATCACCCTCTCTTGCCTTCTTTCTCTCTCTCTCTCTCTCTTTGTCTCTAATTGTTTGTTGTTTACATGTTAATTGTCCTGTTTTGCTTTGTATACAAATGTTAATAAAAGTGTAGTTGGTTGTGACTACAATTATCTCAATATGAGATTACTTAAACCGGCCCTCTATGACTGTATGCATTCCATAATAATTAATACAAAGATATATTAGCTCAGCATTAATAGTACGCGTATATGCATTCTTAGTATTACCATACTGTCCTAGCTGTCCTAGCAATATAGCTAAATGTTTGAAAAGAGACAATCAGAAGTTCAAATTTTCAAAAGAGCAGCTGGGATAGCCCACACGTGCTAACCACTTACTCCTACCCGTTCCTGTCAGCTCAGGAACAGGGAGTGATCACACTTGATAATTGTCATTCAGAACTCTAGCCTGGTTTAGACTAGTGGTTATAATTCAAAACTCAAACCATTCGAGCGTTCAATGTCTGTTTACTTTAGTGGTTGGTTCAGAGGCACAATGAGAGGCTGAGGGTTTTGTCCTTGAGGTGTCCATTCATTGCCATGGCAACATTATCGTGGTTTTATATTTGGAGAAACCACTAGAATGAGGTAGTAAGAAAGAGAGAGGGTGAGGGGGAGAGAGAGAGAGAGAGAGAATTACTAGATTAAAGTGACACGAAGAAGAGATGGTAAGGGAAAGATAGGGTGGGTAGTGGATAAGGTAAAGGTGTGGCGCATTATTATCCACAATATCATACAAATATTTCATATAACGTGGACATCTGTGCATGTACATACCTTGTGGGATAAGTTGATAATCAAAAGATTAGGTCTCCAGCAGTTATACTATATTACATGTGTGGCATTTTTACTACGAATTTACTTATTGGAGGATAACTGAGGGACATACAGGTAATTTATCTCCTCTATAATGCATTGGCTACTATTGCATGTACTTTATCTTTATATTTTTGAGCTATATACTTGTCATAATATATTTCCATGACGTCATTTTACGCCTGCAGAATCAACTACCAGAAATTAATTTTGATTCTGATGAGCACTGCATAATATCTATTGTGTCATCATTGCCTTATTTTAACTCGAGGGCAAAACATGATTGCACTGGCCTCCATTAGCACCCCTTTGTGCCCAATAGCCACTTTTGAGGTTGCTAATTTCTAGTAGGAACAGATCTGAAAGGCAGTAGGAAGTGGTGGTTACGTGGGCGTATGGGCAGGTGAGCCCCACCCCTGTGACTATTATAAAAGACCACGTTGGTCTCATGAGTGGACCATCAGATGATCAAGAGAGCTTTTTTGCAAGAAAATACAAGTTTTAATTGATCCACTGGTTCTTCCAGCTTTCAGCATATCTGAGAGATTTAGTCTCCGAGACTTGTCTAGTTGTTTTAGTCCTCTTAGCTCCTGTTCAAATTTAAACTGCTCAAGATGAGTGCAGGTGATTTGCAATACACAGTGATACTGCAACAGGCACCTTCTCCCTCCTGTTCCTCTCTATCCTCCCCGTCTTCTCCCTACCAAAGCAATCTACTGGACGTCTGCGATGTGGGTACAGCGACTCATGTCCATCACAATGGAGGCTCCCGAGGTGGTGGAAATGGCGGGAGTGCTGGAAAGAAAGAGCACATCAAGAGACCCATGAACGCATTTATGGTCTGGGCACAGCTGGAAAGGAGAAAGATGACTACAGAGTTCCCTGACATGCATAATGCAGAAATCTCCCGGCGACTCGGTAAACTCTGGCGGCTCCTGAGTGATCGCGAGAAGCAGCCTTACATAGAGGAGTCTGAAAGGCTCAGGATCCAGCACATGAAGCAGTACCCGGACTACAAATACAGGCCGAGGAAGAAAGGAGGCAAAAAGCCCAAGCCTGTCTCCAACACTAGCTACCTTGGTGGGAATGATAGCGGTTCCGAGGAGTATTACCCCACCACGATGCCAACAAGTAGCAGTAATTCCTGCTCATGCGGTGCTGGAATTCGTCGAGCTCCCGTCCCAACCTGTTCCATCGCAGTTCAGTGCTCGATGGAGCTAGGTGAACATGTCATAGAGAGAGAGCCATCATCTCCCAAGCAGACAGCTGAGATATCCATCCAAGTAGGAAATGGATCTGCTCACCTTCAGCAAAACAGGAGGAGATCCTTCTCGTCTTTTGCCGGTGACAAACGTCCTCGTGACCTCTCCCTCTCCTGTCCCCCCATCAAGAAAAGAGCCCTCATCCCAGTCTCCTCTCCCCCCGAGGTATTGCCGACGTCTCTCGACGATATCTTCCCTCCCTCTCCCCCCTCGTCCGATTCATCTCCAATCTCCCATCAGCATCGCGAAGACACACTCCCCACTTTACATTTTGAGGAATTTATGGACCCCCTCATGCCTTATGATCCCTCCGCCGTTGATCTTGCTTTGAGCGGGAGCTCGTCAGCTCTCTCCTCCTCAACAGCTGCTAGTAATGTCCTCTCTCTTAACACATTCCCCCTCCAGTCATCCGCAGCAACGAGCATTTTCTCGCCATTTAACATAGATAGCTGTTCAACTTTTGATTTCCCTGAGCTCCCGAGTGACTTTGCCGATATCTTTGCTCAGAACGCAAGCGAGTTTGACACTAGTATTACGACACTTCTGTCTACTTGAGTGCCTTTGTTGGGGATTAGAGAAGACCACATCAACCAGTTATACATGTAAATTAGTCTTTGTATTATTATTATATTATATATAATTGTTATTAAAATTATAGTCCCTGTCTCTCTGTTTCTCTCTCTCTCTTCCCTCTTGTCTTAATTCTGTTTAACTGTTTCCTCTTCCTTTCTTTCTCTCTCTCTCTCTCTTGCTCTGTTTCCCCCCCTCTCTCTCTCTCTCATGTTTATTATCACTTCTGTTTTTATAGCACTAATGCTTCCACTAATGTTTTTGGAAGGACAATTAAAAATCATATTTTTTGCACACAATTATAATTATTAAATCTATAGGAGAACGATTTTTCTCCTTTGTTTTTGCTGTTTTTTTTTTGAATTCTATTCATGCACTGAATATATTTCTTTCTGTCACTGGTAAAACTCTGATTGATCCAATATTGTTTAATAATAATAATATTAATTGAAATTAAAAACTTGCAAACAAGCGAAAATGAAAAGCACTCGACTATTTGCAGGAAATCTTAAGAACACAGAAAGCCGTGTATCTATAAGCAATAGTTGTAAACAGCATTTGCTTACATCTGCTATTTAAATAAACACTCAAACATACTAAAAGACACAATAAAAGAGAAATCAAGTGTACATTGCTTGGGACAGAGACAGAAAATTGGAGGAATTCATCTTATAATGTTTTTGTGATGTACACATGTACATTGCTACAGACCCAGTATGTGGTTTCCAATATGGATGTATTGATACTGCAGGGTAAACTCACTGGTTATACAGCCTGTGTGAAACTAGGACATCAAAGGTTGAGATAATAACCTTGAGCCTCAGCTGATGTATGGAGTGGTATGTGCTGCATATTAATGGCTGCCGGTTTATATACAGTATCTTATGTACATGGTGTGTCATGAATGTACTTATGTACTTGGTGCTTTTTCCTGTTCCTTCCATTTCTCTTTTTCCTCTTTCTAAGTTCCTCTCGTGCTCTCCCCCTCCCCCCTCTCTCTCCCCCCTCTCTCTCTCTTCTCTCCCCCCCTCTCTCTCTCTCTTCCATTCACTTCATCATCAGTCACTGTCAGTCATTATATTATGTTCTGATATTATAGTACATAGTACAATGGACTATACTATACTCACCATACATACACACTTACATACACTTGAATGGTTTCAGAATTGCAGAGGTTTCATGGCAGACACCACCAGATCCAGTAGAATGCTGACTCTGCCCAGGACCTATCAATACAATAGTAATGGACACCACCCTTTGGTATGATAATGGAAGATTATACCAGACAGAGGCAACTCAGCACTACATGTGTACATGTATTATGATTGATGTATTAAGATATGTACAGAATAATGTATAAAGTGGTACATGATACAAGAGGGTAAACTGTATACATGTACATGTACATATATTAATATGTAAATTATGCTGTAAGATGTGGCAGGTGTGAATTTGAACATAGGGTAGCCTAGGGAACGGTATCTTCTACGCCCATTAGTCTTCTATAGGTTGCTATGACTACTCTTCAATGGAGAGTGGGCAAAGCTCGTTAATGGCTCTTAGCTGTTGAAAGAGTTTGTTGTGAAAGACTGAAAGGGGACCAATTAGTAGCAAGGAACTGATCCATTTGTGTGCATTGGTAAGAAATTAATAAAATAATACTGCAATCTTCCTGTCTATACATGAACATACACACACACACACACACATACATTATACACATAGGTACATACATCCTTACACTGTACAATACTGCGTGTATCCATCATCCATGGTTTATAGTGAAGCATAAAAGTGGATACACTACTACATGATAAACCTCAGACTTGGGTGACAAAAGCTGCCCTAACTATGCTGCCTTCAGTTACGTACACGTGTACATTATTATTTAATGTCTATGTGTGTGTGTGTGTGTTATATTATTGTACATGGTCATAGTAACAGTGAGAAATGCCAAGAGTACTACAATAGAATATCATTGGGTCAATACAGCTGAAAGGAGAGGAGAGAGAGAGGGAGAGAGGGAGAGAGAGGGAGAGAAAGAGAGAGGGGAGAGAGAGAGAGAGAGAGGAGAGAGAGAGAGAGAGAGAGAGAGAGAGAGAGAGAAAGAGAGAGAAAGAGGGTCTATAGCATGTGCTGCTCATGTGATGGGGAGAGAGGGAGAGAGAGTAGTCTATGGTTATTTTAAACAGATGAAGCTCCCTCCTCCTCTGGGGAAACATGATGCTATTGATTTCCTGCTAACCATCACATGCTATAAAAACAAATAACACTGAACTAATAGCCTACTGTGGACATCTTGACTGAAGGGAGAATAAGTAATTAATGTCCATGCATCTGAGAAGGGAAATATGAAGTACATTATTATGGATGTATATGTATACTAAAAGAAGTTAGGAGGAACCAGGTCCATGCAGGTATAAATACTACATAAAAGGAAAGAGAGAGTAACAATACGAACAAGTGAGAATTAATGAAAGTGTGTACATGTACATGTAGCATCTATGACTGTGCATATCTGTATAAGAAGAGGGATAGGGCTCGTCAGTATAGCAGAATAGGAATTAAAATCTTCCTGCTGTGTCTAAACACGAAGCAAAGAGAAACAGGCCAGCAGACAGGCACCTCTTAATCTCGTTACCAAGCTCCAGCTAGTCTGCTACATTGAAGAGTGCTAATCAGGCAAGAGACACTGGTGACATCTGCTCATGAGCCAAAAGATATACACAAATCCAAGAGAGCATTGAGGTCCCTACTGTGTTGATAATATTCTGATACTTATAAGGATGCAAAAATACTCTATAGTCCCTAGTACAATACTATACTGGTTGTTGGTTATTGTTTTTTTCCGTCATAAAGATCAAAAGAGTGTGACTATATAGTAAGCATACTGTTGTAAAGTCTCTCGATATTCACAAAAATAGTAGCCTCTCTCCCTCTCTCTTCTCTTCCTCTTTACTGCACATCATAATGTGATAGCATATGTTCCAGTAACTTACATCTTTCCATGTTGATAATGAGTGTCCATTACATTTGTTTAATATGATACCAAAAGGGAGTGCAATTAGAGCCATTAGGTCCAATACAGCCTTATTGATGTAGCAGTTAAAGTAATTGGTACAATTAATGTCAACGCAAAGTACATATATATTATGAATGAGTGTATACTGCATACAAGACATGGTCATACTATTAAAAGTGTATCTGTAGCTTGCAGGTATTATTATGTAATAACTCCACTTTATTATAGCATATTATAATATAATCCTATCATCATATCGACTACTACTTCTCACAAAGTCAGACAGTTGCTAAAGGTTACCACGACGTCTCCAATAGCAACCACCATTAGACGACACTCACTCCCACGGGCCCCAGCGTTGGCTCATATTCATTGAAAGACGGCGACCAATCGAATGAGAGGACAACAACGAAATGTTTTGGCTTGCCACAGGGTTATAGTCCATGCATAGTGTCTGGATAACAGGTAACACGTGTATTAAACTACCGCTGTTGGTTCTTATTTATCATTATTATTATTATTATTATGCTCTGATGGTGAGAATCAGTAATGAGGAGTAATGTCTGACGCTTTCAACTCCTTCAGAGAGTTTGACAAACTTTAAGTTTCCAGGCTTTTTTCCAAAAAAATTGCACTCCAAATTTTTATCACATTCATATAAAATACGAGCCAATTTCTTTTATAATAATTTTTCGGTCAAAAACTATGTTACCAAAATGACTATATAGTATGTACCAGGTAAAGTAGAGTGTTTATTTTAAATGAGATGTGTTTTACGTGGACGTCACACAGGGCCTTATCAAAAACACTGATTACTTGTAGCGTAACATGAACTGGCATTTGTACATGTATAACAACATTAAACATTTCATTTCAAATTTTACTAAACCTCCATACATACATACATACAGACATTTTGATAAAGAGAGAGAGAGAGAGAGAAATAAAACAACATACTAATACTGTAGCCAATAAGAATTAAATAAAAACACAGGATTTAATTAGAAGCCAGAGAGAGTGAGAGAGGGTATACATGAAATTACATAATTACCTTTTATTAATTACTAGGACAACCAACAATGGACCCACCCATCTAGTTACAGCCTTGTTTATAGGACTTTACTTTACTTCAGTGCTTTATACACAGTCACAAATTACAATTACTATTACACGTACATGTATACATTATAGCCGATTCAGTTGAGATATAAATTGATATACTTACCGAATTGACTAACTCTCAATGTTACTAGCCTCCATTGGAATCCAGTGAATGAATAGCTACTGCCACACTAACTGTCTCTGAAGGGCCACCGTGACCACTTAACTTAATTGCTATCAACAACATCTGTTTATTTTGTTGTTTATTGACTTTATTGCAAAAGAAAACACCAGGTTGCATGGATTAGTAGCTGCTCTTATAAAAATAAAACATAAGGATGTATAATATATATGCCCCAATTGGTACTATCATTACACAAAATTGACTTTTGAAAGCCACTATTAGGAATAAAGAGGTTTAAAACTCTACTACATTATAAAAATAATACACACACACTATGTTAACATAATTACACTTCACATTATAAAATAAATGTATTACACTCTTATACTAGTATAGCCATGTTTTCACTGGGCTGCATGTTTTGGTTAGAAATTTCGAGTAACAACAAAATTGACATGCCTCTCGACATAATTTGTCCAATTACCCGTACAGCTAGAGACCGCATGTTTCATAATGTGATCAGGATTATGCTATGGGTATGGAATGACATGCACAAACAAAATGATTATTAAAGATACACATATGTACATGGAGGGTATACATTGTGAGAGTGAGTCATTCATATCCAGTGATGTCATGCTTTATCAAAATGACTGGATGAGATGATCCTTCTCTTATGTATACTACCACTTCCACTATAATAAAAGCTTACAGGCTATATATTGATATATAAATGTTAATACACGCCGTGTTCTTTCTTTTCTATTATAGGTGGCGATTGCTTGTTTGTGTGTGTGGGGAAATCGAGATAAGAGAAATGTCAGTATATCATAATGGATGATTAATAATAACAATGGATAGAGAAGAAACACACAACAAGAGTTACTGGGCAGTTGTAGAATACACAAACGCATTTCCAGTGGTGACAAAAATAAACAAACAACAAATGAGAAGAAACACAGCCTCGCCTAAACCAGAGAACAATAATAATACAAAATGAATTGTGTACGTGATTAAACGTATCATATAAATAGAATGTATATATGTACAGTGTAGCCTCTATATAATGGACACTTTGGTACAAGAAAGTTTGTCCTTTATACAGAGGTGTCCTTTATCTGGAGGTTATTTATACAGTAAGGAATGTAATTGGTACACTAGGTGCTGTCCGTTAAATGGAGGTGTACGCTATAGAGAGTGTCCATTAAGAGAGGCTATACTGTATAGCATAAGGAAGAGGAGAGACTGAGATAAAATGGACACACATCATAAGGTTTTGATATCTTACTCTCTCTCTCTCTTTCCTTCCCAATTTCTCACAAACCTCAACAGGTCTATAGCCAGACAGCAACAGTAAGGATTCAACTTGGCAGTAACATGAAACCTCCACTACAGCCTCCCATCAAATGCACACACACACACACACACTCACAAACTAATAATATACATACAGTATAGTATGGATGGGCACATCTGCAGACAGAGAGTTAGTCTAATTCTCATGAAGGCATACACCTATTGACCTCAGTCAGACACCATAGCTTGATTAAAGGAATTAGGAGGGAGAGGAAGAGAGGGAGGGGAGAGGGGTAGAGAACAAAGACTGAATATACTTATGAAGGAAGATTTAAAGATTCGTAAAAATCCAATTTTAATCGGAATCAGCTCAAACTTCTTTGCAGGGCATAAGTACATGTATATATATCGAAAAACGTAATAAAATTGAGAAATTTCCTCCTTTTCAATTTTTGTGAAATTTGGCCAAAATCCCTGTACTATAGTACAGGGACTTTGGTCTGATTTTGGAGAAACTTTAACTGAAACAAAAGGAGTTATATAGCCAACAGAAAAAAACAATCAGCTCTTGATAAAACAAACAGTGTCGTCATTCAATTACCATAAAATAACATAATTATGCAATAAGAGACAAGAGATGTACATGTACAAGTATCTCACCATATAAGGTAGCCATGGCGATGTTTGTTTGAGGGTGTGGTTTGTATAACAGTGATAATGGTGATAATGATAAAATTCTTTCAAAAGGTAAAACATAATAAAATTTCATACCTCAAAAACATGCAAATATAATACTGAGATCTATAATAAGTCCAGCAATCATAAATAATTAATGACGATAATAATAATAATAGCAATAATAATAATAATAATAAGAATAATACCAATAAAATGTCTCTCATTTCAAAATGTTACTACCAACTAATAAATAAATTTAATTCATAATAATAATAATAATAATAATAATAATAATAATAATAATAATAATACTTCAATCAGTGAGGCGGTGGCTTTGAGAGGGAGAAAGCATAAATATTGTAATGGCAGCATAACTCATAAACCTGGTGACAAGGAAAAGAGGGGAGAGAGAGAGAGAGAGAGAGAGAGGAGTAGAAAGTGAGCTAATTTTATCACTCACAAAAATTAAATGACAAACTACATATACATGTACATTATCCTAAACAGCAGTGCATAGTTTTAAAACCTTCCATTCCAGTAAAATACACATGAATTTTATAGCACATATTAGATCATACATATGTACCATCATGTGTGTATAGTAGAGTACATGGTTCTGGCAATGAGAGAGAGAGAGGGGGAGAGAGCAGTCAATACACAACAGTATATAGTGAAGGAATCCAGTCAAAATGCAATAAGTGTACTATCAACAATTTATATAATAAAAGGATATACATGTACACTCTCTCTCTTAATAATGTAGTACATAGAGAGTAGTGAAGAAGAGAGAGAGAGGGGAGAGAGAGAGAGAGAGAGAGAGAGAGAGAGAGAGAAAGAGGAGGGAGAGAAGTAGAAACTTAATTAATAATGATACATCCTTTTTAAAACTCAATAACACTTCTTATTGAATAATGTCAGACACATTAGCTTAATCACCAATCACAAAACACAACATTTCCTTCTTCTGACCAAGACAGACCCATTTCTCCTGAAATTGACAAGAAGAGATGATGCCATAGCTAAACTATACAGTGATGACAGATGACTGTGAGGCAGGAGGGAGGGCCTTAGGAAGTATCATTATATCATGACAGCTAGTGGATAAACATCATAGGCTCACGTCTTATCTACCTGGGAGATGAATTTCAAAAGAATCCATCAAAGCAGTAGCTTATCAAAATTTTGAGATCACCCAGTGCTATTTCCAGAAATAATAGATAATACGATAATAGCCAATAGCGAGTAAAAGGTGCTATGCAAGAAATAATTAATGTCCCCATACAGTTTTCATAATATCACAAGTACATGTAACAGTAAAAAATAAATAAAAATGTAGTAAACGTTATCCTTCTTTTCCTGCTCCTAAACTACACCTTAGTCTTGGTCTCTTGGAATAGTAAAAAGTAACATTGACATTGTACTCTCTCTCTCCTTCTTTTCATCTCAAATTTCAATCCTTTTCTCCCTCCCCCTTTCTTAACAAGCCCAACATGTACACGTGTACATGTACATGTAGACGTACGTTAAAATGGACCTAATCAATCCCAGGGTTTGCTATCCTACAGCTCCTATATAAACGATGAAGGGATACACAAAAACAGGAGCAGGCCATAATAACTCATCACCACTTCCTTATAACAAGAGTAAAAACTAACAGTCTTTTACACCTGGGACGTACATGTACATGTACATGTACACCTAATACACTACCATATTAATGTACATGTACATGTACATGCATGTGTTCAGCATGTGCATGTACATATTTCTCTTTAATCCATTCCTGATAGTATTGGAATGGTCAGGCTTTACAAACTAATCAGAGACCAAATGAAATCCTTCACAAGCCTCCCATTGGCAATAACAAAGTCTACAAAAAGTATCAGCCAAACCTCACAGAGAGAGAGAGAGAGAGAGAGAGAGTCAGATATATGTAGTACAACTAGGAGTACACATAATGACTACGTGTATAATAAAGTAGGTACTAATACATACATATATACACCTACTTTATTATACATAGAACATACTTATATATATACTATGTGTGTGTGTGTGATGTATTATATATGACATGATGGGGCCAAGGACTATAACCCACACCTACTTACCACAGAACACCCATAATGTAGATGAGCCAAGAGTACAGCAACCAGCAAGCCGTACAATATCACCAGCTCATACTGAGGGAGGGCAAAGGAGATACCCATAGCTAGGACGACGGGGCAGAGAAGGTAGTTTATATAGTCAGGAGTGTATCCGGCCATTTGTGATATCATTAGACGACACTATGGGGGGAGGGAGAGGAGAAAGAGGGAAAGGAGAGAGGTAGGGAGGGGGAGAGAGGGAGGGGAGAGAGAGGAAAAGAGAAGAAAGAAAAATATATTTAAAAAATCATAATCACTAATTATCATTATTATTATTGAATTTTCTTTTATGCTTTAATTACTCACAGAGCAACAATAATATGTACACTGTATACAGTAGACTGTATTATAATGTACATGTGCATTACATGTGCTGTGTACTGTATAGCTGCTCCTAAGAGAGCATAATGAGGTGATAATGGCATCAACAAGATGACACAATTGATAACAATGGAGGGAATGTGAATGAACTGTAAATGATTGGAAGACATTGGGAGAGGAACAGTAAACAAGAGGAGGAGACCTGGTGGATTATGAAGAAAGATTAAAATAAAGAAAAGAATGTGGGCTAGAGGGAAGAGCTAAGAGAGAAGCCCTTGAAACCAACGGCTAAAAGCTTGAGAAACCAACCTGACTGGTTGCCAAACCGGTTGTCTGAGGTATAAGCTTGCAGACATTGAGGGCGTCCTTTTTATGAATTGACCACAAGGAAAATTTAATTTTGATAATTGGAAAAAGTGCATCATGAGCGTTTGTTGATTCAAATCAAATCACAGCTGCTAGGGTATGACCACACCCAGCACAAGGTATGCATTAAGACAGAAATTCAAGGGTGTGGGGTTAATATTTACAAATTGCCAATAAAATAAATAAATAAAAATATGCCATGAAATATAATCCTTCCAAAAAGTAGCGACACATGTACACGTACGTTTAAAAGAACTGACATCTGAAGTATAGAGAGCCAAAAAGATGTGAAGATGTGTACATAAATACACACACGAGTTACTATGCGTGGACCACATCATATATAAATATAATAGTAGCAGGTAAGCTTACACACACACACTAAAGCATAGAGTACTACAGTGGATTTTATAATAGTGAAGGATGTTATGAATTTGAGCCAAAAGAAAGCAGACTACGTGGCTAGATGATGATGATAATGAAGTTCTCATCAAATTTAATTTTCCTTTAAAATTTGGCCAAAGACCATGGATGCATGGATTATGGTAAAGAAAATGATTAGGAGAGAATTCTCAATTTTTATAGGTTTTTCTGATACATATACATGTTCTTATGTTGTGTAGAAAGTTTGAGCTGATTCCGATTAAAATTGGATTTTTATGAATTTTTTAATTTGCTCCAAAATCGGGCCAAAGTCCCTGTATACTAATACATGGTCTCGGGCCAAATTTCGCCAAAATTAAAAAGGAGAGAATTCTTCATTTTAATAATTCTATCTGATACATATACATGTTCTTATGTTGTGTTTCAAGTTTGAGCTGATTCCGATCAAAATTGAATTTTTTACAAATTTATAAAATTACTAAAAATCAGGCCAAAGTCCCTGTACTACTCACTACATGGTCATTGGCCGAATTTCACCAAAACTGACCAGGAGAAAATTCTCAATTTTTGCAACACTATAATCACACATATCAAGCTGAAGAGAACAATGCTTCTATTTTTCAATATCCACTTACAATGTACTAGTTCTTTTATGAAATGGAAAGGCTTGAAAACTTAAAAATTTCAACAAACTAAGAATTCATTAACATCAAAAATAGAAAATTAATTTTTTAGTTCGATTGACCTCATGTCTGCGGAAAAGGAGGAGGAGGAGAAAGGAAGGAGTGAGGAGGGAGGGAGGGAGGAGGGTCTATGATCCAACAACCAAAACCATACAAAACTTGTATGGCTTCTGTAGACCTCGTTAAAACAACATCCAGCAATGAAGCCACTCGGAGATCCTTTGATAAATCATGAACAAGTAAACAGTGTAGGAGGAGATTGAGGAGGCCACTCCTGTCACTACATTAATGGGATATGACTGAGTCATGCTGTTTATATAGGAGGGGCCACATCATTACATGTTAATTCAGTCCTATGATGAAGGTCTCAAATTACAGCACTTCTCAATATGACATTATACTATATCTAGTACAGGGGATTTTACCCACTTTTAAAAATTCGTAAAAAATCCAATTTCCATGACAGGTCTTCCATATTGCCAATTGCAAATTTTCTTATTAAAATTTTGTGGCACTAGTAATTAAAAACTTTTGGCAAAAAGGCCAAAATTTGACTTTGGGCTCTGTTATCGAGTTTTTATGAAAAGAGTAACCATTTTGACTACACAATGCACACATGGATTAGCTTAGCTCTACTTCTGTGAGCATTATAACCATTTACAGTTTGAAATAGGCCAAATGACTGAATCTAAATCCACCATAATCTACCCCTCACCATTTCCTGTATCTGATCCTAACCACTACAGTATATCTTAGCCCTGTCAATCTCTACATCAATTAGTCTGAAACCATCAAATATACACAAACAGACCTTTCCCTAACCAACTACAACAGTTTTAATTGCAATTAGGGCTCTTCCTTTCTCCCTATATGCCAGCAGCCCTGTCCTTGACCACTAGACAGGACTCAAGGTCCTACCCTAAACCAGATATTTAGTGTATACCAAATAAACAACAAGAGAAGGAACTAGACACTCTCTCACAATATTGCCGTTATGACCAAAGCACTGTACATGTACTGTACACATGTAGTTTAGCCTCTTTATTAAGGACACCATTGGGCCCACACTACCTGTCCTTAATACATGTACAGTGTAGCCTCTTTATTAAGGACACCATTGGGCCCACACTACCTGTCCTTAATACATGTACAGTGTAGCCTCTTTATTAAGGACACCATTGGGCCCACACTACCTGTCCTTAATATATGTTGGAAAAACAAAGAGAGAGAGAGAGGGAGGAGGAGAAATAATTCCACAAAGATATAATAAAAAGAGAGAAGAAGAGGGTACAACTCACAGCAATATTAGAGAAGACCATACCAATCGTTAGCATAAAAGCTCTTGGATCTTTCTCGAGCACATCACTGGGAGAGTACATACCCCAGATAGAAAAGACCAATACCAAGAGACACATCGGCAGGAGAGGGAGGTACAGCTGGACAAATGATCTGTTACTGTTCCTGCCTCCAGCAGCTCCCTCACTGGTTGAACTGCTGGGGCTGGTACCGAGGATTGTGTTGGATATTGAGGTTGTACTGTAGTCCTCAGCATAACTGAAATAGGAGAGAAAGAGAGAGGAGAGCACAATGTATTCCTGCATGTACATATGTACATATGTACATGTACATGTAAAATTGAAGAATCTACATGTAAGTGTACGTGTATAGCACAAGCAATTGTAATAATATCATGATAAAGTTGAGGCTTACTTTGCACTCGATTTGAAGAAGAGGAATATGTTATAAGCAGTACTGAAGACACTAAAAACAGCACCAACTGCATGAACAGGAAAAAACAGAAAAATAAATTATGCTTATAAACACTCTTCATTTTTTACTCTTCTCTCTCTCTCTCTCTCTCTTCTGAAAAAGGACTACAAAAGCTTTCAAATACCCACACCATAAACCAAGAAGAATGCTTCCCAATATACATGCAAAATTATTATTTAATGTCTCTTAATCTCTTTAATAAAATGAAGCTTTTGTTTCTTAATTATGCTTCTTGTCTGTAGTCGTACAATTTCCTCAATTTGATGTGGTACATAACTGTCCCTTTATCTTCCTTGCATGCAAGCCCTAGTGGGTTTTCACTATCACCGATCATACATTTCCTTTAATACATCGTCCTCCCCCACACTCTTTCTAGTAATTAAGCACAAACTGCCCATTAATCTTGTTTGATGGTAAAGGAGGAAGATGAGGAAATGAAAGGAAATCGGGGGCAGTTGATGATAGAATACAAACAAATAAATAAACAAATGTCGTATAAATTGATAGCAAATGATTGAAAGAAAAATTGAGGAAATTGATGATCCATATTGTGTTAGTTTTTAGATAAAGTTATCTGATTCTTAAACATTCTTTTCTCTCTCCCTCTCTTTCCCTCTCTCTCCCTCCCTCTCTCTTCTTCTTACCATATATCCCATATCTAAAAGCATCAGAGCAAGTAAGTCCTGGCATTAAAGAGAACTGCCATAACTCAACACCGAAAGCTCCAGTAATGAAGTACACTATTGGTATTACCTGTATAGAGTATTGGATGAACAGAGAAAGAGAGAGATTAAAATTAAGTAATGTAAGTAATGTAGAAGACAGTTTCTAAACTTATAATGTGTACATGTACATGAAAGGACTTATAATAGATACATGATATTAAAAACAGGCACATAGTTTGGCAAAGGGCTATATGAACGCTGACCAAAATTGGCTGCAAAATTTATCAACATTTCTAATACTTGTTGGAAGCCAAGCCTTCGGTGTGTTTGTAAAGCACTTCCCATGACTACAGTATGAGCAAATATATACATGTATGTACATGTACATGTACATACATGTATATTATCAGATTATAATGTAGGTGCATTATTAAATCTTTATTTATCATTAAATTTACATATAAGAAAAAAACAAACCAAAAACACTGTACATTATTAATACATGTATGATTAATAGCGTTACCAGTTCTCCAGTATCATAGACCCATGGTAGGTACACTGTGCCGGTAATGTACTTCTCCCAATGACTCAAGTAGAACCCAAACATGAAAACCATGGCCGTCCAGTATCCCTCGGCAGGGCTACAGCCCCACTGGCCCCGCCCAACAACAGAGTAGAGGATGAGGGGGATAAAGACACAGACTACGCTGTCCAGTCCGTGATCGAATAGCTCTCCTAAAGAGACAGAAATAAATAGATAATAATATCACCCAAATTTTACAAAAATTGAAAAGGTGAGAATTCTCCATTTTTATAATGTTTTCTGATACATATACATGTTCTTATGTTGCGTAAAAAGTTTGAGCTGATTCCAATCAAAATTGGATTTTTTTGTGAATTTTTTAAGTTGCTCCAAAATCGGACCAAAGTCCCTGTACTATAGTACATGGTTTCGAGTCAAATTTTTCCAAAATTAAAAAGGTGAGAATTCTCCATTTTTATAACATTTCCTGATACATATACATGTTTTTATGTTGTGTAGAAAGTTTGAGCTGATTCCGATCAAAATTAGATTTTTTACGAATTTTTAAAGTTACTCAAAAACTGGGCCAAAGTCCCTGTACTATAGTACAGGGATTTTGACAAAATTTCACCAAAAATGAAAAGGTGAGAATTCTCCATTTTTATAATGTTTTCTGATACATATACATGTTCTTATGCTGTGTAAAAAGTTTGAGCTGATTCCAATCACAATTGAATTTTTTTATGAATTTTTAAAGTTGCTCCAAAAGCCATGTACTGTATTATAGTGCTTGTCAGCTCATGAAGCTCATGCTGTTTAGCTACTGTAATGACCATTATACAATGATACACATATGCACATGCATCCTTACCAAGAGGTGAGCTACTTTTAGTTCGTCTGGCCTGTTTACCATCGATACCGTCCAGTGTATGACCAGTGAAGTGGGCGACGGCTGAATAAAGCCACACCCAAACTGGGATGCGTCCAGCTAGCGATGAACCCGTAGCAAAGAAACTATAATCATAAAAACTGAATAAAAGGAATATCGAGAAGTGAAACAGGAAGCCGACGAGGGTTAGAAGATTGGGAGCAACCCATAATGGTACTACCTAGGGGAGAGAGAGGGAGAGAGAAAGAAAGGGATAAAAGTAATTAATTTATTATCATCATCACCATTATTATTATTATTAGTTATTATCATAAAACAAAAAAAAACAAAGGCCTACACTAAGAAATACAATAATTATTAAAATACAGTGACCCATTATTATTATTATTATTATTATTATTATTATTATTATTATTATTATTATTATTATTATTTAATACTATTATTATAAAAAAGGAACAATAAAACAGGTTAGGTTGAGTTGAGTTAGGATAAAAATAAATAAAAATTATTACTACTGTTACCTGGACTACTGTCCTCCACCACGGTTGGAAGAAATAAATCGTAAGAGGATTCGTCTCAATGCAACTATACTACACGTGTGTATGCAATATGATAGAGAAAAGAAAGAGAAATTAAAAATTAAATAGAGAGAGAGAGAGAGATAAAGAAAGTAAATTATCAGTACTCAGTACAGAGCAGGTAAACCCAAGGAAGATTACTAAAGTCCTGTAGTGTGATGTGTATTATCCTGTTGCTATGTATGTAACTATGAATGTATGGAGGTGTGGGCCAGAACTTGAGTCAATACAATAATGTGGTTTACACAATTTATGGTTTTTGGTCTAGCTAGCTGCCACGCCCAATCTAGCTCTTCTTACCTTGTAGTAGCTCAGTCCTTGAAGCTTCTCGTCGCTCAGATAACGGAACCCGAGCATTTCTGAGCTTCTTTCCCTCCCTCTTTCTCTCGCCTTATCTCTGCTTGTGGTAGCCCTCTTCATTCGCCCTTTAGTTTATAACTACTGGTTAATTAACCAGCAGTTAATTAATAACATGCCACCCACGCATAATTGCATTAAAAAGGTGAACCAATAAAGTTTAATTGATTCTAAAGTTTAAAAATCAACTCCTTTTTTGATGAGATAAATTTTAAAATTTTGCACTTCATCATAGCTCACGCTCATCCCTTCAACATTAATTTTTTAAATACAATAACGATGTGTTTTGACAATAATAAAAAAACAATTCTGTATTGCTCTGAATTATTATAATTAATTGATTATTTTCATCTTTTGTATCTTGATGACCAGTCAACTCTTGCTAGTAACCCAAGATTAGGTAAAACTGAACCTCCTCCTCCTCCTCCTCTATGATTATTACTAGCAGCAGCAGCAGCAGCAGTGGTTGTGGTAACATTCTCTACTCCTCTTGTTCTATTACCAAAGAATGCTCCACCACCAGCTCTTGCTTCACCTGGAGAAATAAGGAAATTAAGGATCATCTATTAATGCACAGTACATCAAAGTATTTATTATTAAAGATATACTGTGCTACTAGAGTATAAAACTAATGCACCAGTTCATACATGCATAAAGTACATGTAGCTGATGATTTGTCCATGAATGTAAAAATAACACACAAAAATAACATGTATGCACGTACATGGACATGCACAAGTACATGTTAACGAGAATTTGAGAAAGACACTTTTTTTGGATTACATGATCATGCATGATCGTGTAACACCACATTATCAAAAAATAATCTTTTCTCTCTCCCTCCCATTTCAATACTTACCTCCTCCATTCCATTGTCTTCCTCTCCCTCCCTCACCATACTGACCATAAGGTAGTAAGTTCCTTCCGTTAGGTTCTCTTATACTCCCAGAGTGTTTAGGAGACGGAGTAGGGTCGTTAAATCGAGGAGCGCCACTACCAAACCCAACCTTCCCCGATACGATGGGTGAGTATCTTGCTCTCGTCAAATAAAAATTACTAGCTTCTCTTTTATCCACAACACCTGGAGATACATGTACCTTCGACTTCCAGCTAAAGGGGAACTTGTCCAGCCCCTCGTCTCTCCTGCCCCCTGTCGTTTCCTTGGCAACAAACTGGCCCCGCCTACTCTGATCATCTCCGCCCACAAAAGAGTCGATGGTTGGAAGGGTGTCTTTTCTCTTTACGGCTCGTTTTTGTCCACCAAATAAACTGGAAATGAGAGGGACGGCTGAGGGCTTGCTAGGCGGGACTAGTGATGTTATGACTGGAGCAGGTGGCTTTAATGGAGGGCCTTTATATTTCGGAAAGGAATTAAAATGATTGCTGAATTGAGCTCCTTCGCTATCGACTCCACTGTCGCCACTCTCAGCTGTGGATCTCGTCTGCCACTGTTTTCTCTGATGCTGTGTAACTATTCCACCATTAGCATTATGACTCCCAAATAGAGGCGAGTTATTGTACGAGCCAGAACTCTTCTTCAATACCTCAGGTAATCCTCCTTTTTCTGCCTTAGCTTGTTCAAATTTCTTGGTTCCGCTGACATTTCTATCATAAGGTCCAGCTCCTCCTAAATACTGATTAGCTCTCTTTCCTTCTTTGTCTTCTTGCCATCTGCTTCCTCTCTCATTCTCTCTTTCTTTTTCTCTGTTCGGAGTGTTTGTCAGTGTGTTCTTAGTGCTATGGCCAGTAGTGGATGTCACTTGTGACGGAGTATGGTAAGGATGACCAACTTGGAAGTACTTGTGCATCAAAACCTAATAAAGAGCAACAATAACAATTATTATACACAATTGTACGTTGTATACCCGTTTCCCTAACCTGTTTGGCGGTGGGTCTTCTCCTTGGGTTCCATTGAAGCATCTCCTTCATGACGCTAATCCCATCATCGCTAGCCGTGGGTACCAGAGCACTCAGTGGGGTGGGTACCATTATAGGGAGACGGATGGACATTGAGACAGCCAGGCCAACACCCTCGCCCCACGTGGCCTGAGAAGAGAAAGAAAATATATTGAAATCAATAAAGTATATGTACATGTACATTGTATCACTTTTTAGTTTATTTTGTATTAAAATAAAATTGATTATAAAATGCATAATTATAAGTAAACCTGAATCTCTACATGTGCATCATGTACATGTACATGTAATGTGATTGATGGTTGATAATTAATGATTTAATGATATTATTGAAATCCCCTTTGCTAATTATGGAGACAATCAACGATAAAGCATTATTAAGGATGACATCATTAACAACTTCCATTTTTGGTCAGCTCTAACCCTCTCTCTCTCTCTATATATATGTGTACATGCAAGTCTGCAATGTACAGTGTATATCTAAAAGTAAGTTACATGTACATGTACATATATCTACATGTACATGTACATGTATTATGATGCAATTACTCTTGGGAAAAATGCATGTATCATGTAATTGTTGCATTGCAAGCTTGTAGTAGTAAAATACATGTTCAACACGTTCATGTTTCTTGTACTTTAGTAGGAGTTCCTAATACTCCGCAGATCTTGTACACTTGGTCGATGGTCCCTGATCCAGGGAATAACGGTCTACCAGAGTACACCTCTGACATGATGCAAGCTACTGCCCATATATCAATGGGAGAGTTGTAATTCTTTGATCCTAACTGTACTTCTGGGGCTCTGTACCTACATGTACATATTAATGAACAATGTTATAAATTTCATTTTCAACCTTTCTCAACTCTCATCTACTCATTTTACATGTACATTTTCTCCATTCAATTCTCATTCTTTTTGGTCACAATTAATCTCTTTATTCTCTTCCCTTTGTTTGTCATTTTCTCTCCCTCCCCCTCTCTCCCTCTTACCAGCGGGTTGATACATAGTCAGTGTATGGAGGGCGACTCCTTATTTCCCGTGCTTGTCCAAAATCAGCCAATTTAATTAGCTCATGACCTTGACACAATATATTCTCAGGCTTCAAGTCTCTATGGAAGAGACCTAAGGAAGAGAGAAAAAAGAGAATGAGAAGGACTATAGCGACTCAGAGAAGATACATTGAAAGACATATAAAAGTGACAAAGAATAATCTCTCTCATGTACATGTACATGTATATATATCTTACCCTGACTATGCATGTAAGAGACAGCTTGAATGATTTGATAAGAAATGTTGCGCACTACATGCTCAGGGAACAGGTTACTACCCCTATAAGCAAACCAAGTACATCAATTAATTTAATACATGTACATGTAGTGCATTCTAAATGTAATATACATGTACAATAATGTACAATGTTACGCTGTACCTTGATTTTATTAGCTCATAAAGATTCTGTCTCATGTATTCAAATACAAAATAGAGCGTGTTGTTGTCTCGGAATATCTCAGTCGCTTTGATAATGTTTACATGCTTTAGTCTCTGCAACGCCTACACAATTGATAAATGATTTGTATGCCCCACAATATACATGCACATGTACATGTACATGTTGTTAATTGAGAGCTAGAATGTACATGTACATGCACACGTAGTCGAAAACAAAAAACAACTAGAATAAGAATAGACAAACAAAACGAACTGCCCACACTCATTGTGACACAATAAACATTCCCACGACAGTCTTGTGCTGTTTTTTCTTGAGAGCGGACATGTGGGCGGATTGTTTTTACATGTACATGTACGTCATTGCGTCCATACTTGTAGATGTACGGCGAAACAAATAATTCACTCACTTGAACTTCTTTCAGTTTCAGGCATTCTTCCCAACTAAGGAAGTCCTGTTTCATCCTGTAGAGAAAGATGACATTGCTTTTATTAGTTCACCTCCTCCGCCTACTTTTTAATGGCCACCATATTGCCAGTCTCTTTTTCTTTGGCTAGGCTCACCACACCAAAGGTACCGTCACCCAAAACCTTCAAGAAGGTGTACTTTTGAAGTACGGACATGTTAGGTGGGGACAAGTGAGGGTGAAGAAGAAGGAGAGGAGAGTGAAGTTAGTGGGGGTGTCCACATACACTGTTTATTCATTACCATGACTACACCACGCCCATATTAATTAATTGATAAGCGATTGAGCTCATTAATAATGCATGCATTATATTCACTCGAACCGACAGACATAGTTTTCCCGGCACACCTGGCGGTTTACAGTCACGTGACATTGTGCAATCGAAGTTCGGGTTGCATAGCAACACTATGACGTCAGGCGGTATCACAAGTCAAGAAGAGGAAGAAGCACAAGGCAGCCATTGTGGATTGTGCCTCTCTCCCCTCGCTCTCTTTTTTGTCAGTTTTCCCTTTTACAAACTTATTCATAGTTTTCTATTTTTTCTTTTACTAGGCTTATAACAATTGGAAAGAGACAGACAGGATCAGTTACAAGCTTGTATGTATAGGAGGAGCCATGACTTGTATACTGTCTGGAGTATAGAGGATAATTAATGAGATAAGTTAATACACACACAGAGTGTTACTGTATATGAGTGTGTGGTGAATAATGGAGGGAATAGTTTATCTAAGTGTCAGTTGGTAAAGACAATGAGCAAAGCAAGAGTGAGAAATACATGTAATGGGGAAAAACGAGTGGTTTTGCTCTTTGCCTTTTCACTGGCATTTTGGTAGCATTCTCACATTATTCTTCTTCCACACACTCACATGTTATTTATCATGATTATTTTTATGGGGTTATTGTTTTATTTATAGTTATTATCGTCATAAACTATTGTTCAATTATTCATATTTTTTTATAATTTTCAGGTTGATGATCATTACTTGTATCAATGGATCAAAGACAGTTCTCTATTGGTTAATGATATCCACACACAATCATGTACATGTACCGCTCTTATCTGTCATATATTCTATTTTCCAATTGCCTTACATAGCTCGGCAGACTCAAGCTAGCAAGTCTTCTTCAACATCAAGTCCAAATCTTCAGAGTATGGTAACAATGTATCTATTGCATGCTAAATACCTTGATTACAGTGTTCAGTAATAATAAATGGCTCATTTTACTACTATTCATCCCATTACATGTAATAAAGCACTGTCCCATTGATCTTTACTTATTCTATTGTTTAAACATTCTTTTTTTATTTCTACAGGAATCAAGATTAAAGTTGGTTGAGAGTGAGGTAGTATGAGAGTTATTAATGTATAATTATGCATGTACAATATAATCCACACATGTTTCTCCTACCCCCCCCACCTA